TGTGTGTGTCAGTAACTCTCATTATTGTGTGTGTGTCAGTAACTCTCATTATTGTGTGTGTGTCAGTAACTCTCATTATTGTGTGTGTGTGTGTGTCTGTGCTGATTATGTAAGAATCATGAGACTCTGAACACTGAGCATCATGTTGTGTTCATCTTTCAGCTCGTGTGTGTGAAACAGCGACACCTGCTGCTGTCGAACATCAAATACACCATACTCTGTTTTAACATGTAAATACCACAGTAGAACATGGTAATCAATCAGTACTGTGGTACATATCAAAATACTATGGTATTCTACCTGATACTGCCACTGTACTTTTCCTTGGGTACACAAAGAAAGATTGGGAAGCAAAATAATGTAAATAATTAAATACGTCAATATTTAATCACTTATTAATAATTAAGATTCGTTCATTCAGTTTTATTTAAATGATGCATGCTTCATTATGAGATCAGAAGTGTTTTCTCAGCTCGTTATGAATTATTTTGTAAGAAATATACATATTTTATTTGCTGTGGCAGTAAGAAGGGAATTTAGCAGCGAAGCACCTCAATAAATGAAGATCTAGCAGAAACTAATTTTAAGCTGAGGCTATAAACCTAAAATAGTTTCAGTCATTTCCGTGCCGACGATTCGCATAACGGGTGTGATTTAGCGACTCACGTTTTAATTCCGTTATTAGTCCGTTAAGTTTATTAGTTTGATAATTCAGATGTGTACAAATCGCAACGCGAGGCGGCGCTGTTACTTTTCTCAGCGCTTGTCTCAGGAAGAGCCAATCAGATTCGACCTCGGTTACTGGACAAGGCCGTTAAAAAGAGATTGCTGGGTCGAATTTCCATTTGTATCTGAAACTAATACATCTAAACTTTTACTATACAAATAACCTCAACAAAAATACAGTCGCACTGCAATTTGGATTCGGTTTTTAAATTGTTCTGCGCCTCCGGAGGAAACAGTCCGGCAGGATCCAGTCATGTGACGCCGTCCATCCAATGAGGTGACTTATCCAGACGTTTCCCATCATGCACCGCTTTGAATCACAGAAACGACCTAAACATTCAAAATACCGCTTTTGCTGAGAGTTGTAGAGTTTAAATGAGATCGTATTTTCGTTATAATAACACATATAAACGCATTACAGGAGAGAAAGGCAGCATGAGCGCAGGTCACCGTCGTCGACAGCGCTGTGTCTGTAGCGAGGTATAAAAACGCTGAAGCGCCGCTGGGAGTCTCGAAGGATCCGTCACAATTGATTGCTGCAGTCGGTTACAGAAATCTTTGTTTCTTCTCTCCCACCGCTGAACTTGACTAGCCTTTTACTGGGATTCAGAACACAGCCTGCCTTATCAAGAGAGCTTCGCCTTCACATGAGGAACAGAGTTATTCAGCTTGATAAATGTAAAGAGTTTTCACAGCGGGAACATAATTAGGAACACATTTTTGTGATGTTCTATATACTAACATCGAAAACGTTGCTGGTGGGCAAAATAAAAGGTCCAAATAAACTATACTATTAACAAACAAGTATTTTATTCATATTCTGTGTATATATATATATATACACATTTACATAACAAACAGCAAACACAAAGTTGTTTTTTTTAATAACAAGAGTCCAACAACTGACCATTTGAAATACTTTAGATATTCTGCATATGAACCGAATGCCTGATTTAGTTTAGATGGAGTATGTCAGGCCACCGCTGGAATAAAGTACTGAAGAGAGACGTCCTCATGCAGAAAGATCAGGTGAAGAATCCTTCTGTGAACAATGTCTAGTTAAAAACAAAACACAAAACACATGTACTGAGTAAGAGCTGAGTGTGTGTGTGTGTGTGAGAGAGTGTGTGTGTGTGTAGTATTGTGTGTGTATGTATGTGAGTGTGTGTTTGTAGTATTGCGTGTGTGTGTGTAGTATTGTGTGAGTGTGTGTGTGTGTATGTGAGTATGTAGTATTGCATGTGTGAGTGTGTGTGTGTAGTATTGTGTGTGTGTGTGAGTGAGTGTGTGATAAAGGCCTGGCCCGAGCCAGAGATGCTATCGTGAACGGAAATAGCAAGCGTGTGCATTGGTCAGCGGGCGACGAGCGCGAGCCAAATCTGACTTCCGCTCGTGAGCAAGAGTCCAGCCGGCGTTTGTACCGCGGTAATAATGAAGAGGTTTCACTGCGAAACCTGCTTCATCTCAATGAGAGTGTTTTACTTGCATTAGTAGAAGAAACTGATTGCAAACAGCACAGGGCATCTTCTGATAGTTAACAAGATGCATTTAGCTCCTTATTAGCTTGTACATTTACATATTTGAATGGTGAGTTTGTGATGAGCTTCACCAACAGTGTGTGTGTGTGTGTGTGTATGTGAGTGTGTGTGTGTATGTATGTGAGTGTGTGTGAGTGTGAGTCTCTTACTGCACATGGCTCTGCTGGGATTGACCTGTTGTCCCGTGAGGAACTGCTGGAGTTTCCTGATGTCCACTCGTGCTTCAGTCATGAGATCCGGATCTCTGTGAGTCGGACTGGAGCTCTGAGAGCCGTCGTCACCTGAGAGAGAAATCACACCACACAGTTTTTATTATACTTTTGAATTTTATTTTATTTTAAAATTTTCTGTTCTTTTGCTTTTTTGTTAGAATTTAGTTTTTCATTTTTATTATTATTATTTAAATATGTCTATTTTTTATTGTAGAATATTTTTATATTTAAATGAGTAAAGTTGCCTTTGCAACTAGCTGAAATAAAATAAAAGTATATATATATATATATATACACATACAGTATATTACAATTAATGTGCATTAAAGTAATGATATTTATTGTAAATTTATATTTATTATTAGTTAAAAATAAACCCCCCAATCTAAAGGTATCAAAAGTACTGGTTAAGACACTGATGTTTTTTCTCTCCGCTCAGATAAACAGCTGTTTAACTCTATACTGTGTAAAGGCTCTCTCACCCCACGGAGGGTTTCCCAGCTCCTTAAAGTGTGTTGTGACAGAAACCAGGTCTGTGTCGATCTTGAGGTTCATCTCGCCGTTCAGATTAGCCTCCAGCACCTGAAACACAAACGCCATCAAAGCCCTCTACACAACATCTATTTCTCTTTTCTCCCATTCACCATAAACTCACCAGATAGTTGGAGAGGTTCTTCATGCGGTCCACAACGCTCTTCATGGTCTTCAGAGGAGGTAAATATATGCTGACCTAAGCATCACACACTCATTCCATTATTAATGCTGTAGAGGGTCGTAAACGTTCACTCATATAACGACTCACATCAAAGTCTGGCATCTGCGGCTCTCTGAAATCGTGCCAGAGTCGTCGGGGAATCACGTCCACCGGGATATCATGAGTGACCACACGACTGACGCTGGACAGAGACGGCTGGAGACACGCGTGTGATGATCAAACACAGTTCTGCTACATATACACTACAGTAAAACATGCCTTTACAGTTAGCTAAGACTACAACCATAAAGCTGTTATCTTAAATAAAATGAAAATACTGAAATAAAATGAAAAAAAATTTTGTATTTTCATTTACTTTAACTTGATGTAGTAAAAAACATAATTTTTGTATTTATTTACAAAAAAAATTTAAAAAAGCAATAAAAATGGTAAAAACACAACAAAATTCAAATGAAAAAGAAATCAAAACATTTCAAAACAGTTAGCTAAGACTACAACCATAAAGCTGTTATCTTAAATAAAATGAAAATACTGAAATAAAATGAAAAAAAATTTTGTATTTTCATTTACTTTAACTTGATGTAGTAAAAAACATAATTTTTGTATTTATTTACAAAAAAAATTTAAAAAAGCAATAAAAATGGTAAAAACACAAAATTCAAATGAAAAAGAAACCAAAACATTTCAAAATAATAATAAAAATATAAAAACACAGATCAGAATTACTAAAGGTATTAATTTCTAAAGTTCTGTTCTAATCTTTGCTGTTACTGCCGGCTGTTTTCTCCTCACCAGCTCCGCGGCGAGCGTCAGACACGGGCAGCTCTTCTTGGTCAGCTTGATTTTGACAGATTTGGCGTTCTGAGCCGTTTTTAAGGCCCTGGAAAGATTCTCCGGAGCCACTTCCAGAAAGATCTCATTGGCGTCGGCAGACACTCCCTCCAACTGGAACTCATCGAAGAAATTCCCCTGAAACACAGATGCATTCACAGCGGCTCCAAAAGCCTGAGACCTACACTGCATCGTTTTCTTTTCTAATGCATTTTCGTTCAAGTGAAGAGTTGAACTGAAACATGAGGATGAGTGTGAGAATGTCTGACACTCATGAACTGACTCAGAAATAGAGGTCTATGCTTCATATGAACTCCTGGCGTGTCGCTGAGATGTGAGTGTGTGATTGGGATCTCACCTGTGAGAGTTCACACCACATACCGACTCCTCCGGTAGCGACGCGGCCCGACAGAACGAAGTACAGGTGATCGCAGGTGAGCCGCAGA